AGCGCTGAAATCCGTTTATCATTCGAGATAATGCTCCGTGGCGCGAATTTGAGGTGGAGTGGAAGCGCCTAAATCCGCTCGTCATTCGAGATAATGCTGTGTGGCGCGAATTTGAGGTGGAGTGGAAGCGCTTAAATCGGCTCATCATTCGAGATAATTCTCCGTATCGCGAACCTGAGGTGGGTTGGAAGCGCTGAAATCCGTTCATCATTCGAGATAATGCTCCGTGGCGCGAACCTGAGGTGGATTTGAAGCGCTGAAATCCGCTCATCATACGAAGTGATCTTCCGTGGCGCGAATTTGAGATGCAGTGGATGTTCTGAATTCCGCAAACCATTCGAGGTGATGTGACATGGCGCGGTTTTGAGATGGAGTGGAAGGGCAGAAATCCGCATATCATTCTAGATAATGCTCCATGGCACAAATTTGGGGTGCAGTAGATGTGCAGAAATCCGCAAACCATTCGATATAATGCTCCGTGGCGCGAATTTGTGGTGGAGTGGAAGGGCAAAAATCCGCACATCATTCGGGGCGATGCTCTGTGGCGCGAGTCTGAAATGAAGTGGTAGCGCTGAAATTCGGACATCATTTGAGGCGCTGCTCCGCGGCGCTAATCTATGGTGGGGTTTAAATGCTGGAATGCGCTCATTATTCGAGGTGATGCTCCGTTGCGCGAATCTGAGATGGAGCGAAATCGCGAAAGCCTGCTCATCATTCGAGGTGATGTGCTGTTGCGCCAGTCTGAAATGGAGTGGGAGCGGTGAAGTCCGCACATCATTCGAGGTGGCTGAAGTCCGCTCGTCGTTCGAAGTGATGTTCCGTGGCGCCTCTGAACTGGAGTGGAGGTGTTTAAATACGCTGGTGTGGCGAAGTGATGTGCTGTGGCGCAAAAATGAAGTGAAGTGTAAATGCCGCTTCCATCATGTGTTTTGAAGTGCTGTGCTTTGTACAGCATCTGTGCTCGTGCTAACTCTCATCATTACCAATATGCTCTCCGCCCTTGGTAAATCTTTTTAAATGGTGGAATATGGGTCTTTAAACCGAAAACCCGCAGTTATTCCCTGCAATGGGAACATTGAAGTCGGCTTGTGGTAGATATTTCGTGCTAACACTTGTGGAATTCGACCACATTGGTGTTGTAATATTTAGTAGTTCATCTCACGTATTGGGAAAATGTAGTGACGTGTTGGGGCCTAGGCGTTCTAGTAAAATCTGTAAAAAACGCGAGAGCATGAGGAATTCGCGAATCATAAATAGCCTCCTATGAATGGATGGCGAAATCGTTCTGCTCGGCTGCTACCAGCTTTGTGGCGGGAAAAAGATTGACATGGTTCGAACACTCGTCTCAAAATGAAAAACAGATCTTTATAACATTCCTAAAAAATAGTCTGCTCAGTGCTCCACAATTCAGTCGTTGTCTGTAAAGTCGTACATAGTGATGGTTTAAAATTAAGTTTATGGTACTATCGAAAGATCCAGATACATGAACGTTTAAAATTCTGAATCCCTGGTGTATGCAGTGGAGAACGAACACGCGCTGTTGTCCTTACCCGGATGGTGTAGTGGTGAAGTGCGCTGCTCCCCGGTAAGGACAACAGTGCGTGTTCGTTCTCCACTGCATACACCTGTGGTCCAGAGTTTTGCAGATATCTCAGCATCTCAGCACTTCATACGAGTTATATTTCACATCATACCCTGCCATTAAGAAGAAGAAGGCAGTAAATAAAAGAGTTAAGATTCTGAATCCCTTTATGATTAAGACGATAATGCTAAAATTGATCCGTAAAGATTCTTTTACTCTCAGATGGTCATAGCTATTTTGTGCAAACTCTGCTCCAGTACCTTGACCTCCTAATTTCACTATTATATTTCTTCATAGAGACCTCTTACTGAGGCACCCCTGTCAGGCTTAGTGGCGTGGCAACGTGACGCGTTGTCAGATGGAGGATAGCAATCAAGCGCAAATGGTTACCTTCTGCTTCTCTGAAATGCAAGTAGTTGCAGAGGGTGGAATCCTTATTTCTAAACCAGTTGACACATAATCTTTATGTTTAAATATGTATATATATATATATATATCTGGAAACTTTTGCGCTTGTGTTTTCGTCTGCATACATATTGAGTCACAGAAATCTATTTGGCCGAATGAATGCCATCAAGTGACTAGTAGATGTATGGAGGATGGATAGGAGTGGCCTCTAAGAAGTAAGTAATAGTAGGCAGCAAATAAAAAATCGGCATTGTGACTGCTTGTGGTTTATATACAAGCATATATTTATATTTGTCCATATATGGATATACATACATAGGTGTATGCATATGGGTGAGTCTCACTCACCATCAAAACGATGAGTAGTTGTTAAAAAAATAGCCTTCATCTATAGGGATGCTCATCACTGCTATAGGTCATCAAATTATACGGTTATTGAAACATGAAATACATCCATGCTCTGAAAAAGACGAAGTCGCCGAAACGTCAGCTATCGAGCCACAACGGCAACAATGACAACGACTGATTCCAAACTTGTGTCAGTTTAAGAGGCGCAATTGGTAAGGGCATATATACATATACGATTTTCTTTTTCAATAATGTGGAATCCTAGCCTTCTGGAGCCCATGGATCTCCCGGCAGCATGCAAATACTTGTCGTAATAATTGAAAAAGCAGTATTGGCTGGCTACAGTCAAGCTCACAGAGCACCCACCAATTTGATGAACTTTTACAGTGCCACTGGACCGAAATTTGAGCAGAAATGATCTTTCAACAGGTTTGGCTTCTTCGACTGAAACACGTCGGTCATAGATGCATTTCTTCTTGAATTTAGCAATTTCTTGACCAGTTCTTCACTCAGATAACTTCGTAAGCATTTAAGACTTTAGAATTAAAGTGGATTGTGTTTGCTTATTTGGCACGAGAAAGTGGTTGTGATTTTCTCCTGCTAAAAAATTGGCTTCGTAATGTTTAGATCCTACGTGTTTTCCACAATCCTGTGATGCACATTGCTGCTGGTGGTAAACGGAGCACTCTCCGATGCTTTTCAAAGATTGAAAGTGAAAGTTACAGTTGCGAAAGAAGGTTCTAGAGCAAATGTCAAAATGACCATCGCCCTTCTATTTTTTGAATCCATTCGGGACACTAGTTCATAACTCCACAACTGCAACACAGTTTTACCACATTCGAATTCGGCTGCAATGTCCAAGAATTGTTGCTTTGCCCATGCTTGCCTTTTCCGATAGTTCGTGAATTATTGTACATGGGTTCTCCTCAAGTAATACCTCCAAAACTTCATCGTGAATACGGACATAAAAATGAGTACTTCGCACCGAGTACCATTTTATAACCCAAACGGGTGTTGAAAAAACAACGTAGTATGTAATCCTTTCAAAAATAGGAAAAACACTTGTAGCGTCGTTCTCAGAGGTGCGCACCGCGCGATCACCAAGCCCTTCTTCCTCCAATGTCGGCAAATTGCTGCCAGCGATGTCTGGGATGAAAGCAGCATAATGTATTGGTAAGCCACCGCAAATCATCGCATAGGCTAGGTAGCGATTAAAGCGGTATTTGATGAAGTCGAATGGATGGCGCATCCTTAGCGATTGATCAACGTTCAACGTTTTACAACAATTTACGCTTGAAAAATTAGGTGCGAATAGCGCAGTGGTAATGACACCGTTTAATATGGAAAAAACCTCTGATTCGACATCATTCAGGGTACACGACGCACCATATCCAATTGGAGTTGATAAATTGTTTCCTCGCTAACTCAAATCCACAAAAGCGAGCGATTGACTTCATCAAAGATAATGGGGAGAGTGAACTTGACCAGTGCTGTACGAAGCAGCAGCAATGAAGAATGCCAAAAAACCTTAGGAAGGAGCCAAACCGACATCTGGAAATCCGAAAACCGTGGATTGCGGACGCAAGAAAACGAATTAAATGTGAAAGGTAGGAGCATCATCGCAACGTGGTGTAAAAAAATGTGACCACTCAAGTTACTTTCTTCAAGACAAAGCCGACAAAGTGCAACTGAATTGCGCCTGTGAGAAAAAATTTCCTAAAAATTAAAATGCTTCTCTAGAGTTTTACTACTACCAAATACAACTGAAAATTAGGAGTAAATGAATAGGCACTATGTAGTATATAGATCAGAAAGAACGTTCAACAAGAAGTCAAGTAGAAAATATGGAGCACTGTAGTAATCAAATAAAAAATCCAGGCAAAGATTAGACACACAATAAGTACTCATATTGAAGAATTACATAGAAGAAGAAAGTTGTAAGAGGTACTACAATGCTCATTTCAACATGAGTGAGGTAATCAGTGGATCGAAAGCGCTGTTCACAACGATCAGTTGTTCGGCTACGAATGCACAATGTACTGACGTGCTACCAAGACAAATGAGCGAAGTACTTCCGGTAAATCCTTGGATGCTGTTGCTTGAAAAGTTCACACTTCTTTTGCTTTTCAGCAGGAGATATTTGAAAGTCGTCAATAATAGCCGCTAGAGTACTAGCAATTTCTACTTCAGCATCAAAATTCTCAGGCGAAGATTCAGCTGCACAGAATCGGACAGACAACATCATCTCTTTGGTTGCATTCCCTCTGAAGAATCTACAAGTTAGGGTAAAATGATTAAGCTAATTAACAACGTAATAAAAACCGAAGCCAGCAAGAAGTTGAGATCCATGTCTCGGCCTTTCAACTTTTTTTGTAGGCAAGAAATCACTTGTAGGCTACGAGGCCAATACTTTTTTAAGCCGTTATTAACGAAATACGATGCCACAGCAAAAATATTCTAGATTTCGTGAACACACCTCGAGGCTCTGAGATCGGTTTGCATTTCTTCTGGTGGCCTCCCGAAAGTGCCTTCCTTTCGGAATTCTATTAGGAACTGCAAATATGACCATTACAGTAACAGACAAAATACTTCAAACCACAACCTAAGTGACTCTTATAGTGGATAAAACTAAAGTACCTCAATAATCTCGTTTTGTTCAGATGTTTCAATTGTTTGTGGGAAAATAGAGCACCTCAACTCATTGAGAGCAATTCTGAAATTGTCGTTGTCGCCCTGAAACAGTAATCGAAAACTCTCAGACACTTTCTTTTCAGTTGTAAAATCACTATAAAAAAGTGAAAGCGATTGTTCAGTTTTAGAAATGATCAAACACATTTACAACAGAGCAAGATCTTTGTCAAATACCGGTAATTCCACGATGATTAGAGTAAGTGATTAGAGTGATGAAGTGAGGACTTGTGGAACTCATAGAAGCAACCTTGTGCTGTATCAAAGGGAATGTCTATAATTTTTCTGAAGTTCATTCAAAATTACTTACTTGGATACTTAGATGGTTTGTTTTCATTCGCTGTGCGGGCCACAGGATAATTTCAATTTTTTCGCAGATTTGGTGGTTCGGCTATTGTGGTTCCCGGGAAACTTGAGGTCACCTAGCCAGTCTGCCACAGGTTGTCACACGTACAGGCACTCGGCGCCGTATTGGATCAGAGAGAGATTTGCCACGATGCCACTAGTTTGATACCAGGACAGTGATGGATCCTGATATTGGTTTGCTCATAGCTAGGCTTCCTGATCGAAACGCCGGGCTCCTCAGCATGAGAAACCGGGTTGGGGGCATGAATCACCCGCTGTATATCGCGGCCCGGCACCCAGGAACACCTTCCAGCCACGATGAGGGGGTAAAAAGTTGGGTAGAAATTCATTCTAAAGTTGTCTAAGTTTCAAATTCTTTTCTCCTAAAATTTCAACTTTTAGCAATTTTCCATTTAATTCTTTTTCGTAAAATTCAAGGATAACAAGCTTTTGAACATCTCAGGTAAGACGTGGCGGTTGGAAACAAAAATTCTTTTGAGAGTATTTAGGAAACACCATTATATCTTGCGAAATGAGGTTCACTGTATCCGAACCCTTCTCCTTTCGAAAAAGAACTAACAAAATTGGAAAAGACACTTCTTGGTTTTGGAGGAAGCTGAAAATTTGGTTATTATAGAGTAAGAGAACTTGTACCTAGTTAGTAAACGGCTTTAAATAAAAAAGATGTCAAAATCCTTTATAATTCAAAATGGCACATTTAGAATTTTAAAAGCATGATGCCGTTGGCCAGTAAAAGCGACAACAAAGAGAGCCTTTAACAAAAAAATATACTCCCTTCGCAGGAGCTTTTCGCGAGATCAAACACAGAACACTCACGAAACACGAACCATTATGCCCAAATAATGCAGGCCACGCAGTGATACAAACTGATCGGTCCCTGTAGTCTTCTCAAGAAATTGGACAACATTACTGAGATGATCACGCATCTGCTGAGGAATCATAAGGCAGAGATATCTAAATTGGATGCCTTGACGATACCATTTACTTATCACACTTCCGAATGACAACTTACTGCAAAGCCAGTTTGGACTTCTGCTGGTTCTTACCCAGCAATTGTTTCACAATTGCGTCCAGAACAACAGAGTACTCCTTTGGAATAAGTGGCGAGGACCCGTGATGTGTAATTAGTGCATATCGTTCACTAACCTTCAATATAGCAAGTCTAATTTGCCTAAATACTAAACCTCGCTATCAAAGCACCAGCACTATGAGCATCACTAATAGTACCGAAAGGTTGAAAAGTAGCAGAGTGCGTGAGCAGAAAAATTTTTCTTCAAAGAAGTAGTAAAACGCTAGTAGAAAACGTCATAATTGCTATTATCTACAAAACAAACGAGGAAACACTCAGCACCTAATTCACACAACCATTCCAAACAAATAGTTTCTGCCTGAGCATTCCAGTTTTTACCTCGTTTTCTCCACCAGCACAAAATCTACTTCTTATTATCACGATATAAAAGAGAATCAAGAACTTACAGCGTCAAGGGATAATTTTGCCCATTTGTGAATTTCCTTAATATCTGGCTTTCCACTAGATTGAAAATAAAGAGTTGGAGCACAAATTCTAGCAATTTGGAACCATGGAACAATAGGGCTGAAAGAAAAAACTTTGATATTCCAAAGAACTCATTCTGAACACCGTCAGCGATGAGACTACTAAATAAACGAGCCGAATACGTGGCGTATTGAGTAGTAGATCGTCCATTTCCTCATTTTTAGACGAAATAGTTCCTGCTGTAACACATCCAAGACCAATTTTCGAAAGCATCGTTGAAAGAACGAGCGAGCTCTTCTTAAAAAATGGCAACATTCAAAAGGCAGCAGAAATTTATAACGAGTGGATTCTAACCGTTGGTTGCCCCGGCACTGCAACGAGTTCTTCAAGCACTGGTATATCCACAATGGTTAAAAGACGGGATAACGCAAGGTTATGCACTTTAGCCTCTTCTGAATGTATTCATAACAAGGATCAAGGTACACGATACATGAAAAACTTGAAACAGGAGAGATTCCAAAGTATGAAAGAGAACCAAAGACTTACCATCAATGGAACAACTTTCGGCATTGAGAAGATGAGAAGCAAAGTTAAAAAAACTTGAAGGCTTAGAAGATTGCTGCGTAACCTGCGTGTCATCACAAGTCGTGGATATCTGTGGGAGATTCGTGAAGATAATGGGCACTGATGTGTTTCCATCCGCATTTTCAGCTACAACCGTTAAACCATTCGATAAGCATGTTTTAGGTACAAATAACGAGCAAATAACAAGATCAAATTTTTTCAAGCTAGACCCACCTCTACTTGGAAAAATGAATCGTTCGTAGCAGTTTGTTCGGGGCTGTCTTTTATCAACTTGCTTGACATTGTTCAGAGGTGAAGCACAAATGTGTAACCTGTTGACAAAATACAAATGCTATTGAAGGCCTTTTAAAAACGAAGGAATTCGTTGGTACCACTAACGTCTCCATTTGTCCTCTTCGGCCCTAGAGCCTCCCATAAGGGTAGGTCTGCTAGGACGACGCGAAGAATATTACACTTTAAATAAGTTTCTCTATTTTTCTTTTTTGAGGAAATGGGTTTTCACATATATATTATTTCAAGTCCTATTTTAAGAAGACATGTGCACCTAAAAGCCTGGTTTTGGACTCTGCAATAGGCGCGGAGATTATTTGATCCACTTTGTCTCAATCAGAATCCACCCAGTCGATTAAAAGCTGTGGCTAAACTTCTCATCGTCCCCTTTCATGAAGAAAGAATAGGTAGCAAATAAGAGGTAAGACAAGGTGCACTTGCTGTGACTCCTGCAAACTGCAGAGAAATTAATACTCGGACAGTAGTAAACCGTCCATCGCAAAGCCGGTTGCCGCTTGTGATCAGCCAGATACATATATGACATGTGCCGTGATAAGTTAGTGGCGAACACTCGCTTTCAAAGGATGACGCAAGAGATAACACACCACATTTCTGCGTGCATACTTGATTGAGTTTAAGCGCAAGATATTAAATTTCACGTTTAAATCACTAGCGCGGCAACTAAGTGTTATTATGGCACTGACATATCTTTACCCTATCGGATATTTAAACCACAAAATAGCAGCAATGGACAAACGACTAAAGACGCTATAATTTTATTAGATCCACTAACAGCAAACGTAAACGATCATGCAGGCTTAGCACCACGTTATAATCATAAGTGGATAAAGTGCTATTTACGTTTACTACTATGTCCACCTGACCATCTGTGATTTATGTAAGCATTCGTCTGCAAAATTCATGGAAGAACATAAAGCAGGACACCTCAAGTTTAGAAAATCTGGTGAAGCGAGTCCTTCACTTGGCATTAGGCCTATTTTCTTCTAAAGGATTGCTATCACATGACAAAACAACGAACGCAAAATTGTTAAACCAAAAAAGGAAAGCAGGAAAAAGAACTAACAAGAAGCGCAACTTACTTATGATCTCGCTCTGGATTCATTGTGTACATGGCATTTTCGCTATCACTGAAAAGAGGAGGAGAAGCTCTTACGGACGAGCTAGTTGGGCGAATCACATTTTCACGCAACCATGTCTCCAGGACCTGTAAGTTTAGAAGTTTCAAACACGCTACAGTAGCGTTTTTCTTGGGAAATAAATGCGCCAAGACAAAACTCCAAATGACTGTTTCAAAAATTGAAGAACAAAGGTTGTAGTGATAAAAAAGGAAAAAGCTCTCGGCGTTGATCAATCCCTGAGGGATGCGCCATGCATTCGACTTCATTAAGTATCGTTGGAGATGACTGAATGCATATATGGCCTTTACAATGACTCGCGCTGGCCTGCTGATGTATCGAGCCAGTGCTGCTATCCTCCCAAACAAATCTGGTACCAATTTACCGACTCCGGAGGGGTGGAAGGCTTGGTGAGCCATGGGAGCTAGGATCGACTCCACGCGTGTGTCGCAGTGGCGCCTTCAACCACCGCGCCACACGCGCCCCTATATATACACATATATACATACATACATAAATACATGTACATATATATACATATACATACTTACCTGCTTATATATATATTTATATATCTATTTGTAAATTACGATTTGTACTGTAAAGGAAATAGGATAACTTCTGCAGATATATGTATATATACAAGCATTTTACGTCGTACTTAAATTATCCTATAAGGTAGTATCTTAAAAGTAAGAAAAGAATAATAGAAAAAAAAACTTTTCTATTATCACAAGGGCGCGTGTGGCGCAGTGGTCGGAGGCGCGCTGCAACACGCACGCGGAATCGATCCCAGCGCCTATGGCACACCAAGCCTTTCATCCCTCCAGGGTCGGAAAATTTGTACCGAATCTCTCTGGGAAAATAGCAGCACTGGCTGGGTACATTATTACGCCAACGCGAATCATTGTAGAGGCCAGATATGCATTCAATCAGCTCCAAACAATGCTTAATAAAGTCGACTGCATGGCGCATCCCTTGAGGATTGATCAACGCCGAGAACTTTATCCTTTTTTTATTCTATTATCACAAAACGTGCTACTACATTATGCCATAATCGCTCATCGTAACCGCTTTTTGAATAACATAAACTCGCCACTCTACAAGAAATGAGATCTTAAAAAACCTTCAAAGCGTTTTCCCTTTTTATGGCGGAAGAGGAGAGGTGTTCACGATCCGCTTGCAGATATTTCTCCATAATATTAACCGCATCAGAGCCGGAAAAAACGCAATTTTCTCTAGAATAAGACTCAAAAATTATGGAAAACTTGATCAAATTGCTGAACGGACCTCTTCTGTACAGCAAGCCGAAAATGATCCTTCATTTCCTGATATTTCGTTGCAGTTAAGAACGCACACGAAAATGGGACTGAAAGCATAGTTGTTAGCTCTTCACACAAGCGAAATCTGTAAAATCTAAAGCAGTACCAGCTGAAGCGCCAGGTTGCTGCTGATCCTCACCGTTGGCCATTGTTCTTCGAAATTCGATCTTAACCGATCTACTTCTTGGACACCCCTTTCGTGGTTTCGAAGAAGCACACAATAAAACTTCTGGCTGCAAATTATTGCAAGACAATGACCGTCGTAGTCTTCTAGTCATCTCTGTGAGGTTCTTGGAGTGAAAATGCACTAAGATCAAACACGCCTAAACAGAAATAAGAATTTCTTTGCTTTATTTTTTAACACTAGGCTACTAGATGCAATCAGGATCACGGTATAAAAGGTAGCAATTCTTGAATCCAAGCACGCTCCGAAAGTTCGATAAATTGCCATGTATACGACTGTTTGTTATACAACAATCGCTATACTTTTCAACAATTACGAAAAATTGTAGAAGTTAGCAAAGCAGAAGAATAAACGATGACTGAATTTGTGCAATTGGCGCGCTGAGCGCTAGCATTGGAGCGCGACATGCGTAAATGAGAATGACAATGTGTATTATATATGGATTCGCCATTGTTAAGAGATGAAACTTAACTACGAAGAAGTGACTGCATAAATAGTGAAGAGGTTATTGTCATTTATAAATTGGTAGAGAATTGAAGGGTTTAGGTGCAGTGTTATAATTGTTTATTCTGACTTAATAACTTTAATAGTTGTAAATAAAAGCACTTCACGTTTTGACTCGAAAACGGATAAACAATTATTTCTGTAATGGTTCCTCTCTTTCATTTTGTTACCGAGCTACAGCATAGAAAAATGCCAATAGGGAGAATTTCAAGTGGCTGGAAATTCAAGGAAAATTTTCGTTATGAATTCCTCTCTAGATTACGCTCTTTCCTACATAAATTTTCGCAATTCTGCTAACTTTAAAATTATAAACTACCCAAACCAAAAATGCGTACAAAGTCGATAGGATAGACCTTACCAGTAAGAGTTTTAACCACAAGCGTTCAGCTTAACGAACAACAACAGAAAGGTAAAAGTGGTACGTTCCCTATGAGAATATTTAAGAAAACAAAAGAGTAAATTATCAATGGTTGACAGGTCAGAATATGTGGAAACGAGAGATTTGCTAAGTGTATTTATGACATTCTTCAATCATCCATCATCAGCTGAGAGCGGTCGACATTGTCGTTAGTTGGACAACGATTTGCAAGCGTGCAGTGTGGGAACTGCTTGTAATTGTAATCGACTTCTACAGGTTTGATTGTCAGGGAAAAACAAGTTATTATCACACTATCACCGGACAATCACAGCTATCCACCATCAGCAACCTGCATAAAGGGGCATCACTGAGCGAGGATGCCTCATTCGAGGAGATGGCTCACTGAGGAAGACCTGACTCGGCACGAAGGTGAAGCTGCCAAGTCGAGACGAATAACAAGCGTGGACCATCGACTCGAATCATCGGCTCTGAGGAAGACGAAGACGTCGAGACGTTAGCCGAAAATAAATATCATTATCAACCTTGTGTAAGCTCATCAGAGAAAGAATACATGCTGGTAATTGTACTTTACTAGGATAAGCCTGGAATAACATTGGTGTACAGCTAGCAGAAATCAGCATGAACGTGTCTCAAAAAGATCACGTTACATTCGAAGCCGTTAGTCCTGACGTTTGCAGTAACGAATAACCCGCAATTGTTGCGCAAATAAAGGTGGTACGGTGTCGAAGCCTCGAGTAGCCGCTTAGGCTGAAATTTTACTGCTAATTGAAAGATCTGACAAACGGATTCCCCTTCGCCGAATCGATGACCTCCACCCCTTGAGAAATCACAGTCATCTATTACTAAATAGCAATATGTAGAAATCTTTTCTCTGAATGTTCGTAAAAACCACGACGTACTGATACATTATTCCGATTCTTAACTAGACATCGTAACACTATCAGCTTTATATTTTGACCCGGGGGCGTGTCTTGCTCTCGACTCCACGTGAACTACGTGTGGGCCAGTCCGGCACGTAACATCATGGTGAGTGGCCTTTCTGTTCAATATGGCGTCTATTTGAAAGTTTGATCTTCATTAACACTTTAACCTTCTTTCAACCGATTAATAAAAAGTATTCTAACATAAAATACGTCCAGGCTCTGAGGAAGGCGAAGTCGTCGAAAAGTCAGCCATCGATCAATAGCAGCAAAAACAACGACAACGACAACGAAGATCTGTACCAACCTTAAGAAGATCAGTTTATAAGATCACATAAATAAATATATCAACTATCAGTTTTTATTCCTTCTTGATTTTATTGATTTCTTGCCCGAAGTCTTGCATCACGAGTGTGGTAAACTGGATACCTCGCGCAGGCATTAGTAAAGCCATCTTTAAGCTTTCTAGTTCTCATTAATGTTGGTCTTAACATGCCTCCTGAGAACTTTCCAAATTTTGATAACAGGGTGGTATCGTCATGATTAGTCAGTCTTACCCATCGGTATCAGCTGTGTAGCTTCTTTGGTAAAAACGATTCCACAGCACCACTCATGTGTACCAGTAACTTGGTAAAGGAAAAGTCACAGAAGAAGATGTATTCCGCTAGGATGGGCCATTAGTATTAACAGGCAGTACTCCTTTTTAATTCTTTAACTTACAACAACTATTTTAGATTTTATCGTGTCCATGTATCTTAAAGGTAGATTTTTGTTGTGTATTTATTGTGCCATTTCAGCTTCCAGCCTACAAGGAACAGATCAGTGGTGTCAGTCCTTTGCCAATGTACAGAAACTAGTAACCTGTTGCAAAAGCACGGCTACTGTCTCCGGGAAGATAGAATGACGTATTGCGGAAAGAAAATCTCAGGAATAACTGGAAGGAAAAATGCGAACATAGCATAGTGATAGATTCTTCTTTTTTTTTTTCTTTGGAAGGAATTTATTCTATACTAAAGTAGGTGGACTTTACACAACGCTCTGGAATGTTGCTGATAAAACCTAATAATTACTGTCGATAGCTGCTGTAAGTTAAAGAAGTAAAAAAGAGTACTGTTTGGTAATACTAATAACCTATCCTAGCGGAGTACACCTTCATCCGTGACTTCTCCTTTATCAAGTTACCGGCACAGACAAGCGCTGCTGTAGAATCAATTTTTAGCCAGCAAACTATACAGTTGATTTCGGAGGATGAGACTGACTAGCCATGAGGATACTACCCTGATATCAAGATTTGGAGATTTTTCAGAAGGTATGCCAAGACCAATATTATTGAAAAATAGAAAGCTTAGTGATGGCTTTACTGATGCCTGTGCGAGGTATTCAGTGAGTGATACTAAACTCGTGATGCAAGATTTCGAGCAAGAAAAAACTGATAGTGTTATGAGGCCTACTTGTATTTGATGTTTAGATGGAAAACACAGACATTTCACTACAAATTCCACTTACCTGTTTCTCCGTTTCGCGCAATGTTGAGTATTATCCATGCTCCAAGGATGCATGTAGCGCAGTGGTTGGAGGCGCCTGGTAATACACTTGGCATCGATCTCTGCTCTTCAAGACAATCAAGTCCATCTGGGGTCTGCAAATTGGTAGCATACTTGACTAGGAGGTTAGCAGCATTGGCTCGATACATCGGTAGGCTGTAGCGAATCATTGTAAAAACAAGATATCAATTCAGCCATCACCAACGACCCTGAATGAAACCCATTGTATGACACCTCCCTCAGGGATTGATCCAAGCAAGGAGCTTTATCTTTTATTTTTTATTTTCAACCATGCTTCAGTGCTACGCAAATTCTAGAGTATATTTTGTTCTCATTGAACATCCTCGAAAGTTACAGTGTGGATGTTGCAACTGTTACTCATCAGAAGAAGCTATCCGTGAACTTCTACTGTGAAAGAAACAGAGATTAGTGCTTATGATGGTGTGGAACATGCCTCGGGACAGCAGTGTGGTATTGAATTCTACCGATACCTACCAAAACTGCTTGGCACTAGAAGAAAACTTGTGTTTACCCACACGCTCAGTGGCAGCTTAATCCTAAGAAAGTGATCATTAACACTCAATCAACCAAACGATACCAGCATCGGATTTATAAAAAGAGATGTTGTAGTTGTGACGATGCATGGGTGAGCGAGACATTGTCTCGGATCATTGGCTCTCATGAAAGCGAAAACGTCGAAAGGCTAGCCGAATAAACCACTTCATCAATGTGTAGCTGCAATGCATTCACACTTGGGATAGCAGAGACGAGACGATTCCACCCATTCAGTGTCGTCTATGACACCAGGGAAAAACTGTTCATCGCAAATCCGAAAGTAGAGGACTCGGTGGCGTCGGTGTTTCCGTCAGAACGACTTTGGTCATGAACATCGTTTAATTTTAATAACTAGCAACCCAAATCAGTTGTTCGCCAATTAAGCAAAGAAGGTCAGTACCGGCTTTGACATGCTTCGTCATTTACGCGCCTACATCAAACTACAATGAAGAAATCGAAGTATTCCATATGGACTTGAAAAGGTTCTACAGACAAGATCACACATTCTTCAAGATCATCGTTAGAGGATTTAACGCTAAGATAGGACTCAGATGAATGTCTGAAAAAGGTTACATTGGGACCCACGGAAGAATGGAACGAGCAGAATGAGCAGCTGCCTGAGTCCATCATGATCACCAAGACCATTTATGGTAACTGGTAGTTCCAGAAGCTCCACGATTAAGTGGGACTCTCCTGTGGATAGTACCATAACAGAATAGCCCACATCATAGTGAATCGAAGGTTTTTCCTGACCAATGTCACTGTTATCCGAAAATTTTATGCTGGATCAGACCATCGTGTCCTTCGTGTGAGATTTCTTTTTTAGCCGAAGGGAGAAAAAGTAGCTAAATTCAAAAATCGAATTCACAAAACGACTACAAATTTGGGATTATTCAATTCATTAGTCAGATGCTGGAAAGATACCGTTGCCGATTACATCGACGAGGAATACGATTGGTTCATTCAAAATCTTCACGTTCACCTGTCACCTGTATTATTTGTCGTTCCGACGATCGTCAAGTAGCCGGACCAGGCGTCAGTAAGTCTTCCAAATTTTCATGCC